GATCTTACTTCATTGTTCTCAGCCTTCCCAGATGTTCCTGTACCTGTGACTTAGGACTTAGAAAGTAATGGGAGCAAAAATGATGGAAATAACCAATAATTCTCAAACACTGCACAGTAAAACAAAGAAATTGAGTGATTCCCAATATTAAAAAAAAACTAATTGTAATTCATTAGCACTCACTTAGCAAGTGCTTGTTATTGTCATTTCAATTTCAATTGTGTTTCTCCATCCCACACAATCACTATTGCAAAAGCCTTTGCAAGACATAACAGAAACATTAAACCAAACATTAAAAATTACTGATTTGAGCCTTCAGGGATATGAGGAAAATGCGCATGCAGTGCTTACGATGGAAGAAAGGAGGCTGGAAAAGGCAAGAAAAAAGAGCAGTTATTACCTCTGCCACTAAAGGGAAATAAATCACACTCAGCACAGCCCTGCATGCTACATTTCCCATTATTCTGAAACTCCTCCTCCCCCTCCTCCCAGAACAAGGCTGATTTCTCATCTGTCTGCCACAGCTCTGATAAAGCACATCTGTTTCAAAACGCTAACGTTTTAAATTTATCCCAACAAGGGTGGAAATAGCCTACAAGTTATTAACAAGAAAAAAAAATCAAGAAACATTCCACCTCTATGTACATCGCTCAATGTAAAATATTCCAGAGGCATTTATTTACTTTCAGTGTTTTTATGCTATTGAAAATTATCTAGCGTCAAATTGAAAAAAAATCTTGGATGGAGGATGGATTTGGGTTGGGAATCACAACCCAAATTAAAATACTGTATGTGTTCATAAGCAGCAGTCTTTAATAATCTGTGTCATGAATCACAGTGACAACTGCACGAACAGTACAGTATTTCCCATCCAATGCTTTGAATGTGTGACAATGACATCTTGTCTCTTACTGTACCAGGCTTCAGATGCTCTTTCTCAAGTACACTTCGAGGCCAAGGCCACAAAGCTCTTCCTACAGACAACAGTGAATTCCACTATGCCAAAAGGCCAGCTCTCCACCTCAGGAGAATTCAAAGCTATGTCACCTTGTAACAGGTTAAGAAAGAGACCTCCTCTTACTTTCCCCCTCTGAGGTCAAGGACAGTAGAGGGCCTAAACTCTGATCGCCCTATAACTAGGACAGGCCAAACCAAACAACACTAAAAATCAGTGTCTAAACCCTACTTAGACACATGTAATGTCAGCAATAAATTGACAAAACTGTATGTACTGTACTTGAAAGCTAATGTTGCCTTAGTGTGGAACTGTACAGTATAAAATTTCTAAATCAACTATAAATATTGATTCAACACTAATGATCATTTCAATTTTGCTTTCAATATAAATCTGTAGTGGTTAAGGAAAATGGTGTGCTACAAAAATGTTCAAGTGCAAGTTCTGTGTCACTCGGGGCAACTTACAGAATCTTCCCTACTGGTCTGTAGCTATAAATAGAGTAAAAAACTAAGGTCCCACTGTAAGGAATAAAGCAGTAGCTCAATGTGATGCCATGTTAATACAAGCTAAAGAAATGTTTATCAAATGGCCATTACTATTAATATTAACAAAACTATAACAAAATAAATTACAACAATTTTATGTCCTAAAATGATCATGAATTAGTACATACAGTTTAACTCCTTCAACAAAAAAGGATCGTTGTTGATAAAGCTCCCATCTTTCAAGACAGGTAGGCAGCATGGCGGGAGTAAAAAATGTAATTTCTGTCCACTGTGATGGAAGAAGGGGAAAACATCCTGGAAATAATAAAGCTAATAACGTATCATGTTCGCTGATGCTGGCTTTCATGTTCCACATTGGCCAACATGGTTTGTCAATATTTTAGTGATATTTAATAGTTAGTCTTTCACATACTGTACTGTATATTAAATTTTTCAATTGATTGTTTCTTTTCCTTTATCCTAGGATTATTTTCAAATGCTACTTTCCGATGAATGAGTGTCAATACACCATAACCAATCAAAATTTTATTTCAATATATGTAGCTGCTCTTTTTGAGTATAAGTCAGGGCCACATCTGTTTTCAGATGGTCAAGTTCCACCTTTGTGTTTTCCTGCTTATAAAGCCCTTTGCTGTGGATGGGGAGAATATTCTGAGGCATAAGAACTGGGATTTGATGTGGCATTGATGTCACAAAAAGCAGGAACTGGTCAGTTGGGACCAGGTTTGACATCCTGTATTTACAAGCCTGTCCAATCATATTTCCCTTCATCCATCACTGCCTCGGAAGCATGCCTCTGAAGCTTTTAATATTGACAGAGGTTTTCTCTCTCTCCTGCAAGCCGTGATACAGAGATGATGGATTCCTTTGATAAAACAACTCCTAAGGAAGAGGCCCTCACTCATGTGTTCCTTTATAAATGGGGCAGACCTGCTCTCCTCCAATTTGCCGCAAGCTTAGAATGATTTCACTGCACCTTCGCATTTGCAAAATCTCCCAGTAAAGAGAGGGAAATGAAAAATAAAACCTATCCCAACCTACATTTTAGACGTAGACTTTATTCCCATATAAAAAAATGAAAAGATAAACCAACTAAATCACCATCATGTTCCTGTGGCATATACGGTTAAGCAGACAAACAAAATCCATAATCTTCCAAAAGGAAATTATGCCAACATGGAGTAGAGTACAATCCATGTGAGTAACAACTGCTTATTATTATAGATTTTCTGAAATCACATATATACGTCATGACTGAGACTGCAGATCATACTGAAAAAAGTTACAGTATCTGAAATCATTCGTCTTGCTTTAGACAGTTCAGTTTTGCATGCTGAATAACAATTGAAAATATAATTAAATGCATTTGTAAAACATTAATCTGGTTCAGATATAATATGTAATGTGGCTTGCATTTTACATAAATAGCTGTCATTTTGTGCCAGAAATACATTTAAATGTAAATTAATGCATTATTTAAATGTATTTAATAGACTTTCAAAAGTACTGGCATACAGTATTTATAAATGCATTATTTAAAGCAATAGATTTTAAGGGGAAAAGGGAGAAATGCAGTACAAAAAAAATCAATTTAGACTATTCATTTGTTCCACATGGGCTGACATATCCCATTATAACTTTGTCCGTGCGGATTAAAGAACTGTTTTCCATCTTTTCTGACGGAATCTGGGAATGAAAACATTCTACAGTTCTAAAATGTCTAGCTGTCTTTCAAAAACATAAAAGGCAATGGGTAACGGATATGTAAAATATGAAACATGAGACTTACTTTCACATTTAAAAAAAATCACGTCACACCTATGCAAAGACCTGCAAAACGCTGCTTCTGAAATTGCACAGCATGATTGTTTGTCCTAGCCTGACACACATGCATGCACGATTTAGTGGAGGAACAGGAGAAAAAAGTCTGGATTTTAGTTTTGGTTGCGTGTACAGTACATTTCCGATTATTGACAAATACTGATGCAGTGTTTCAAAGAGGTGCCTCTGATCATTTGTTTTCAATGTCCTACCAAGGATAATACAAAGCAAACAGGCCAATTAAACAGGTTTTACAGATAAGAGACACAGACACAATCTTTTCACTAGCAAAATGTAACTTATCAATACTTATTTCTATAAATTTGTAAAAAAAAATGAATGCAAGCACATGTCCTCTAAGCATATTTCAGTATCCACAGTCTTAAGTAGTAAGTGTTAGTTCAGTATACACAAAGTCATGTTGGGCCCGCCTCTACTCTTACTGTACATACTGTATTAGTCGCCTTCTCTTTCTGTACTAGGGCTTATCTATACAAAAACAACACTGCATTATTCCATCTGCTATACAGAACGTTTCAACTTTTCCTAGGTTATAGATGCAAGCTGTGAGTTATATGGAGTCTCATTTCTTGTACTGGAAACTGGCACACACAAACCGATCATAAGGCAGGAAGCCACAATGACAAGCTAATTGTAAATGCAGGGACCGCAACACATAAGGCTCGCTGACTATTCCTCTTTGAAGGTATTTCATTTTCAGATAAAAGATGACAGATCTCTGCAGAGGACTATTGTTGAAATATTGAAAGGGAGGTTTACAAAATAAAGCATGGCGAAAGGTTAAATCAGTATGAATTACGTAGGCAGCTAAAATAAATCTGATTGGCATTTAAGATGGCCTCGGCTGAAAACACTGAGGTCATTGCAACATTACATTAATGCCAAGAGCTTTAAAGGATTTGCTACCCTTTTGCTGCACCTGTACTGCACAATATCTTAACACCCACATCACTCTTTTTTATTGTATTCAATCACTTAAATGGAGGTCATGTTTAGATCTCTTTCTGACAAAGGCTTTTGATGGCCTAAGCAGTAAAAATCATATCACCACACCTTATCTGAAACAGTAACACCACACCAGTTTAACAATCTTTAATTAAAATGCAAGAATGCCATAAATCTATGCTACTATCATGTAGAACCCTATTGCTATACATATTCTCTCGCTTAATTCTACATACCATGTCCATAACCCTGCGTGGAAGTGAAATAAGACTTACTGTGATTTACTTGGTCTAGTTTTGCCTTGCTCTCTATGGGTTTCTGCTAAACATTGCAGAATGATATTCTCCAAGACATTCACATGTTCACGAATACTTTGAATACTTTGAATTTCGAAATCACAATAATAAAAAGCTTTTGTCTTCTGCATAAATTAAGTCTTTACCAAGTACCTGATTGCCAGCTTAATTTAAGAATTAACTAGAAACCATCTACAATTATGCAAGACAGGCCACCTGGCTATTTTTGAGGAGAGATAAGCAACAGGCAGGATTAGGAACAAAAATAGTTGCTGTGGCGCCATTCAACTTTTTAATGCAAATGACCAAATACTGTACTTCAATCTTTTGCATCCAAGAGTAATGCTTTGCTGTGACATACTAAAACATTTCTTGGTATGATATTGCCTAAAAATGCAGACTGAGATGGAACTTGACAAGGGTCCAAATAGTCAAAAATGTATTCTGACTTACTATGGCGAAGAGGTGGATAATATCTAAACCAGGAGGCAGCTGGGATAAATCGCCGACTTCTTCTTTTAAATAAAGCTGCAGCATTGTTGCCAGGTGCCCAAGGCCTTCTTTCTTTTCTTCGCTCATCTCTTTGATATCTAACAAAGGATAAAAACACAAAAGCAACCACTGACCAAGCGGAAGGGAAAAGAACCAGCAGCAGAAGTACGGTCTAGAGACACAAACCCCTTTCATTTTGTCAGGACAACAGAGAAAGGACACATATCACCAGTCTTCGAGCAGGTAAATACCGACATCCTGACTGAAGTCAGCAGTTCTCCGACAGCAATAAAGAAGCTGAAGGTGTCAAAGAAAGCCTTGACCAAATAACAGTTTTGCTCTTGTTTTGCTTCTATCTCTTCTGACACAAATTTACCTGAGTTTTAACAAAGATTTATTTTTGGAGTTCATAGGATAATAATGCACACATTTGCACATTATGCAACTGATAATCACACATACATATGTCAAAGAATGACAATTACTTTCTTAACCTTGAATTATTCAACTATCAAAAACAATAAACTTAAAGAAAAAAAAAACTTCTAAATGAAGAAGTTAGTTCAGATTTAAATTCCAGAAATACCAAGAAGACTGTCTTCTGTGCCATTATCCAGCTCATAAATTTCTGTCGAGTATCCACAGCTGATTACAACTGGTTATCATACACAGTATACTGAATAGCCAATATTTCAAAGCATCCAGCTTTTGTAATCCTTGACTAAATAAGGTCAATCTTAATGTCCTTCCATACAGGAGCTGTATTATGTTATACTGTGTCATAGCAAAGACATGCCAACCAGAGAGGGATTATTAGACTTGAAAGTCTGAACTGTGGATGCTAACAGTGCCTGAGATGCAAATAGTTGAAACAGCACAGCTCCATGTCAACCGTGTGGTTTCGAAGCCAGCGAAACAGAAATAAATGAAAATAAACCCAGAGTTGAGTATAGTTTCTTTATAACTTTCAAATGGGGAATTCTGTTCATACCATGCAAGTAACAAAGACTTTAGCTGCAGAAATGGCACAGTCGGAGGTCTTGATTGGTATTGAACAGTGTTACTTATCTATGCTGTAGTTCAAAACGTTTCTCATTTCCTCAAAAAGTTTTAATTGGTTTTCAAAAGCATTATACTGCTGATTTTGAGTTAAAGTGGATTAGGATTTCTGCTAGTGAAAGAATTATGATAACATTGTGTCCAAAATGTGTGGTGATCCCTATCAGTTTGGATGATGAACAAAACATTTTTGACACCCCCTAATTATACAATTTACTATCAAGGTGTATATAAGATGCTATTCTGAACTAGATGGTTGCACTCCCCTGTTGCACTCCAGTGTGGTATTTAAACACTGAAGCATTTCTTAGTTTTTATTTATGCTTGTAAATGAATGAACGATACAACTTGGACTTTGCTCTCTTCATATAAAGCAAGATGACAGCACATAATAAGCACCAACGATTACCTTTTTAGATCAAGCCATACATATGCATAGGCAGAAAAAAATACATTTTAACATAAAAGCCATTATGCTTATCAGTATCTAACAGATCATTTATTTACTCTACCATGGTCCTTTGTGACAGGTGGAGTCTCTTGCCATTAAAGAGAAGTACCTTGTTGGACATACAGTATGTGTGTGCTACTTGATGACGTTCAATCAGCAATAAAGTTCAGAGGGGGGAAATAATTACAAACCTCTGAAAAAAGTCCATTAAACACTTACGTGATTCATGTTCCAACAAAGAGAACAGCTCCTCTGAAGGACAGGATGAATAGTTTAGCTGTTGTAAGAAAGTAAGGAATTTCATTTAGCTCTTGCAAATGTAACAAGGAATGATTTAGCATTCAGACACCCATATTTTAATCCAAAAAACACTGATGTGCAATGATAGTAAGAAGCAGTGAACAGGACTCTGAACTCCTAACTGGAAGGTTAGTGGGTTTAAATCCCAGCTGGGGCACTGCTATTACATCCTTGAACATGGTACATCACTATGCAAGTCGCTTTGAATACATTATTTGCATATTATTTTTGAATTGCTGGTATATTAATAATAACAAACTTATACATGTTGCTTTTAATGGTGGCTTCTCAAAGCACTTACAAAAGAGTATAAATAAGAATGCAACCTTCTGAAAGGACCGGTAAGTAATTAACACACATGAGCGTACAATCCCTGCAAGCAGCTCCAGCAGGGCACAGTTAACTTTGCTTACTAATTTGAAGACGATCCGCCCGGCAAGCCGCACGGAGTCGGTCGGGATTCTGGGATGGAAGCTCCGGAGGCACTTGCATTCTCTCTTGTGCTCTGACCAAGCGGCCTTCTGAAAAAAGAGAGGATGGGCTGGTGATGAATTTGAGATAATAAGGAATGTTTAAAAAGTCTACTTGCAAAGGAGCGCTAAATGTCATTACAATCCCATGTAAGTACCATAATCACATTCACTGTAACATGGTGAGAAAATACGGATTATAACGAAGCACAGTCTTTGTGAGATTCTGCCATGTCCACAGCAGCCTGCAGCACTGGATTAAAAGAACAGCTAGCCAAGGCACGAGACACAGCACTATTCATGAGTTGTCGTTCAAATCTGTACTAAGAAGTCACTTCAACATAAAGAAAATGAGAAAGGGTACAAAGGACAGGGGGCCATTTGGCCAATTTGTCCCATGAGGTTGTTAGTAACTTAGTGATCCAAGGAGCTCATCCAGCTCTTTCTTGAAGGAATCCAGGGTATCAGCATCAACTACATCTTGCTTCCTGTTCTGTTTTAAGTACCTTTCCACTTTCACCCTGAAAGGTTTTATTTTGAAAATATTCCATTTGGTTGACGCTGCTAACGCCTTTAAGGATTTTGAATACTTGTATCAGGTCATAGTTTTCACTAAATCCCAGAATGTATCCTGACAACTTCCAGAGTCCAAAAATATTGTGTTTGAAATATGAAGATTAAACTATGCACAATAGCCTAAATGGGGCCTTAATAATAATACTAATACTAATAATAATAATAATAATAATTGCTTACACTTATATAGCGCTTTTTTGGACACTCCACTCAAAGCTCTTTACAGGTAATGGGGACTCCCCTCCACCACCACCACCAATGTGCAGCATCCACCTGGATGATGCGACGGCAGCCAAAGTGCGCCAGAACGCTCACCACACATCAGCTATCAGTGGGGAGGAGAGCAGAGTAATGAAGCCAATTCATAGAGGGGGATTATTAGGAGGCCATGATTGGTAAGGGCCAATTGGAAATTTGGCCAGGACACCTGGGTTACACCCCTACTCTTTTCGAAAAGCACCCTGGGATTTTTAATGACCACAGAGAGTCAGGACCTCGGTTTTACGTCTCATCCGAAAGACGGCGCCTGTTTACAGTATAGTGTCCCCATCACTATACTGTGGCATTAGGACCCACATGGACCGCAGGGTGAGTGCCCCCTGCTGGCCCCACTAACACCTCTTCCAGCAGCAACCTTAGTTTTTCTCAGGAGGTCTCCCATCCAGGTACTGACCAGGCTATACATTATACAACTTCAACATAACACATCATGATTTGAATTCTGTCTTTCTGTATGTAGTTACATATCCTGTTTTTTATTTCTTTATTGTGTAGATAATGTAAATAATGTGTCAGCATAAAAACCTTTCAATTGGACTGAATGTGTTATGTCACTGCAGTTGTGCATTACGACTGGTTACCACACTTGTTCCCATGAATAGTATTGTAAGAATGTACAGTAAGTCTTTTTAGTGCACAGCAATAAATCTGTTCTTACAGCCACCCTCTAAATATGATCTAAAACAGCATTTTTGCAGAGAACTCTGCTATACCACAGTACTATTTTAGGGTACCTTCCAAATAGACAACGAAACAATTCATCCAAAGGATCTAAAAAAGCATACAGAACAATAACCTTGGAATTTGTTTTGTTTAAAAAGCAACTCCATGCTAAGGAACTGAAAACACATTTCAAACCATTGCCACAGAAATTAACCAAAGTTTAATTTAATGTCACCATTCTACCACAGCAAATACAGAAACAGATGCACTTTTTATAATGGACTGTCAGAAACATAAATGTACTGAGTGTGGTCCAAAACAGATCGTATTGCACCATTTAAAGCATTGGACAAAAGTACCATTTCAAAGGCGTAGAAAAGAAGCATCTCATAACATAAAAGACACTTGGAATTTTGTGGCTGAGTGGAGCAGTGGTACCCAATACTGTATCATCCCACCCCTTTCACAGGTCATATGCATGTTCTCAGCAGTTTTTAAACATTATTAAGTACAACATAAAAAAAAACAAAAAAAATGGCTCAAAGCTGTAGATTCCCTCACAGGTCAGTCGTCTACATGTCTTCCTCTGTAGTTGCTCTCCAGTGGTGTTGGTATTGCAGCAGTATTCACCGCATTCATCAGGAGGATATAATCACCCACATGACCTCCAGGTTACAGGGTTTACTTCACTCTGAGGTACACACGTCACACGTCTGACATGAGCCAACATCTTTGCCAGAGATCAGCCAGCCACTTAACTGTCTTTTCCGCTCCACGGCCCCACAGTGATGAGGAGACATATTATGTGTTGTTTTCTCATTTTGAAAGCATGACAACAACAGTTTGATGACAGCCGGCTGGGCTTTAGAGGCTACAGGAGGACGGCGCTGGCATTTTCAATCTGCCTGTTGAGTACACATTGCAGGGTGTCTGTGTCCGCTTCTTGTGTACAATTGGCAAGTTGTTCTGAGGGAGCTCAGCTTTTCGTGAAATGTTCAAGAAAGGTGGTAGTGAAATGATTAGTACTGCTTAATGAATCAATACCTAGGTTTTACCAAAGAGGCAAGAAATCATACAAGGCCATTGTGTAGTTTTGTATGATTTACACATTAGAGAACTAGATTCAGCTGTTGCACTGTATGTCTACATATTATGTTTTATCAATATGCAGCATTATTAAGTCATGCTCAAGCTAATTTGTAGCATTTTTTAAACGAACAACACACTAAATTCTAATCCAAAATATAACAATAGATTCATACAGTACATCTAAATTATATAGGCCTGACACTAAAACTCAAATTTTTAAGCAATCAAACCTTGTGGGCTCCAATGGGAAAAACAAAGCTGACATAAATTAGAAGGAAATATAAACTGGCTGCCCTCCTCCCACAAGGTATAGACCAACCTTGATAAAACCACACACGCTTTTTCAAATCTTTTTATCTCCTTTGCTTACAGGAAATTCATGCTTGCAAAGCTGAGAGAAAACCTGGAGAATTTCTCCACTAAATGCTTAAAAGCATTTTAAAAGCACACCTTAATATGTAAATCTTACATAAAACAACATAGTCCGTACAGCACAAAGGCCAATACGTCACTAGAGTAAAATTCTAATTCCTTCAATTCCATAGAGAAAATCCTTGCAGATCTGTCACTCAGTAATTTAACTTAAGATTACTGAAAATGCCACTAGAATCCAAATGGAGCTGCAAAAGCTGCAGCGTTCACAGAACAATGAGCATGTCACTAAATCAGCAACATGCATGAGAGCCTCCATATGCTTTATCATTCGGAGACTACACTGGGGGAATGTGCATAACAGGGCACCCCAGCGCATTTTCTGCTGATGCCCTGGAAATCACAGGAAAGCATGTGATAACACACCAGAGAATACATTGAGTGGGGTGGCATTGATGGGGAGGAGGGAGAAATCAAATTCTGAAGCCGTTCCACACACATGCCATGATAAACCAACACCAAACTCTTTCATCACAAGCATTCAAATATTTGCCAAGCTCGTTTAATGTGATGTTCTGGGGCAAAGTAAAAAAAAAATCCAGAAAAAGATGCATATTAAAAATCTTTAATCATTTACACTTACAGCATTGGACATAGAGGAGAAGACGCTTGATGCTTCACTGAGGGATGAGGGCAGGGGCCTATCACTTATTTTCTCTTAACCAATCTAACCTTCATCTTTAACCCCTACAGGAAAACACTTTCAAGCCCATGTCTTGTGTCTTCACATCTAGACTCTATCACTGTCCACTTCCACTACAAGACACTCAATGCATGAATTTTCAGACTAATTATGAAATGAAACCTACACAGACAGCATAAAACATATATGACAGGTTATACCTTCACACTCCTTTGTTACTTGGGAACAAAAAATGCTGATGAATAATTCTGAAGAGCTAACCCATAAATTCCGGCATAGTGAAGAGTCAATAAATTATGAAGGACATAAATATAGGACCTATAATTATAGTTAGGATTTATCGACAAATCTGCATGTTATCATTATGAAAATTCCATCTGTCTTGCAGTACTGAAAAGAAGATGCCTTCACGATACAGTATTTACTATGTCATATCCTAAATATGCAGAAAGAGTATTTTGGAAATATGAGTTTGCTCCATGATAAATCTTCCTCCACATTTATGGTATATTGAAGCAGGAAGTAATGTTTCGCAAGTTGTCTGCAGATATCAGTCCGGATGTCACTCTAATCAGCATAGAATCTGGATCCCTCAGTGAAGACAACAGAAGTCCACTGTCTGACAGCACATTGCTCATGAACATCCAGCCCTTTTAGACTTTCCTGGGAATGCCAAGTTGACACAAGATACACAAACCAAAGGTCTTCCTAATGTCTAACAGCTTCAGCAGCAATCTCAACTTCTGCACCTACTTACTGAGAAAATGTCAGATGTCTTTAGAATATCATTCCACACATACAGAGATCAAATGCAAGAAATTGTATATGGCCAATAAAGTGATCTTATCTTTACTTCCTCACACAGTTGAAAACATTTGGTCTTTCTTCAACTGTCCGTACCACAATTTACAGGTGCGGTACTGAGAGTGTGCTACCATGTTGAATTACAGTGTGCTCTGGCAGCAGCTCGTTGTCTGACCGTAAGGTGTTACAGGGGGTGATCAGGTCAGCCCAGTCCATCATTGGAGTACAGCTCCCCTCTATTTCAGGCATTTTTACAACTCTCTGTCTCAGGAAGGCTGGAAGTATCACTAAGGATTCCAGTCATCCTGTTTTCTCATTGTTCTCCCCCCCTCCATCTGGTAACCATTATAGGAGCATAAAGGCACGAACGTCCAGATTCAGAGACAGTTTCTTCCCACAAACTGTCAGATTACTGAACTCTACTCCTACCACTGCCTCACACTGATATTTCTTTTTCAAAGATGTGTATTCTTTAACTTGTTGCTGTTGCTGTTCTGTGTTTATGTTGTTGGCGTGAACATAATTTTTTATGTTCAATGTCTTTGTACTGGAGCTTACATGCAAATAAGCATCTCATTGCACTAGTGCATATGACAATAAACTGAACTGAAATATAATATACCTTGAATTAATCTTCTATTTGGTAATTACAGCCATAAATATGCTTTGCTAGAAAACTTAAAAGGCAATTTGTGATTAATTATATCGAACTGAATATTGGACATCCAGTCAGTACCTTTGACCGGGCATACTGTAGCATAAATCCCTTAAAAACCGAACAGTCCAGCCAAACTGTCTGGTAACGCTATCGGTCCTACAGCTCATGTAAAATTCATAGTCTAGAGGAGCTCATTAAGCAAGCAATGAAGAACTTTATCATAGATGCACAGTGTACGAGGGCAGTAAGTTCAGACAAGATGGCAGATTGTATCTGAACTACAGAAATCTGTGGGCAATGATCTGCCATCCTACCTCCCCTGCTGGATTGGAGGAAGACAGTTGACTGGGTGACAGTAAGAAAAGCAGGAAACAGTGGATTCCAGTACTGTCAGCTTCTCCAGTGTATCGCTTACAGCATAATATTACTCTTTGGGCTGGACCAGGAATAAGCAAGGAAGCAACTGACTGCTCAGTTGACTTGTGAGTTTTGGATTTAATGCCAAAAGCATCTTAGCTGCCCAGCAGCTTTTATACAGAGAATATAACAGAGGTGGTTAGTGTTTGAAGATTGATAAGGTTTTGTTTTCTCTACACCAAAGACCACCATTTTTACCTAATAGCTGCATACAGTATATGCGTCTCCTGCTACTTGAGATACCGTGCACCAGGCGTTGTCATAACATGTTAAGCATTTTATGGGCTAAAGCAACTTTATTCCTAAAACATGTTGATTTCATCTGTGTTGTAAACTGACTCTGAAAACCGCCATGTACCTGTATCTGAAGACACTATCTGTTCTTGTGACTGCTGATACAGTACTGTAGAGTATGTACTGTGCAAGACAGCTCATGACTTTACAAATGTCAAAAAACAGAAATTCATTTTCACATACTAACAGGAGCTACCCTGCAAAAATGTGATTTATATACAGTATATGATTTATAGGTTTTGATATTTTTTGGAAATTTTGATTTTGGAATACATTGGCTTATGTACCCTTTTACTGGTTAAAGAATGGTAATTAAGAGGTTAAACAAAACCATTTTAAATCTTTTTAATGTTTTGTTGTTATTGGAACAGTTTCAGTGTAATTCCACACACCATTTACTTTTGGACTATGTTTCTGTTCAAAGTCGTGCTTTAAATCATTCATATTTATCTGAGATTTTATAAGACCACTAAGTAGGAAAGGTAAACAGTTCACAACAATTAAAGATTTTGTAATTGTCAGAAGCTGGAAGGAAAGCATGTTTTTTAAATTTGTAATAAAGAAGAAATACTTTATTTTATACTTTATACAGAGGCCTTGCATATTATTAATTATTGTTGCCATAGAGATAATGTGTGACATACTGTACAGCACCAAGAAAAAAAAGCAGCTGACACAAAGACAGTTCTATGTAATAGATTACCTGTTAGCACCATGTACAGCCCAGCTCCGAAGCTCTTAACTGATGATGTTCACTTAGTGAGAAACCTTAGTGAGTCAATGTCACTGCATGTGGTCATGCTCATTTTCATGTGGAAGGGTCCAGTGACAGAAGCTCACAGCAGACTAAAGTTTGAGAGCACCACTGTAAAGCAGTATTCAAATGTGACCCTGGTAATTGCTGATGTGTGATGCACTCTCCAAGATACATGTTAAAACATGTGTGAAAGTGTGGATGAACACAGGTTTCTCGCCTGCTGAGAGAATGCTGAAAGCTGTTTCCCTCACCACACATAATCCCTAAACATGTTCACTAAATGAAAATAAATGAGGTCCTTACTAGTTTTAAGGGCTTTTAAAACAAATAATATAAATGTACTATTTGATGTGAACAGTTTTATTTCAACTAAATGAAGTAACGCCGTTGTGAATTCCCCTGCTGTCCAACACAAAAGGGAGAATTTTCTTTTCATCTAAAGCAATTAACGGCCTTGTAGCACCTTAATATACTAAGATATGACAAATTAATTCAAAAGAAACATAACATTCTATTTGTGCATGTATGTTATAAATAACGCATACTGATACAGTAAATACAGTTGATGTCATTTTGATTAATGAGATAATTTATAACTGACTGCATTCTACATGAGTAATTTTGGCACAAACGGTACTGTAAATCTAAATCACCTTATTAGTGAAAGAGATGACTGGGAAAGAGACGATATAAAAACCCAGAAAGGAACCAATACAATGTGTCTGGGTTACAATAGAAAATTCCTTTTGTGCCATTGGTATAATAGAAGCTGAACTAAGTCAACGCTGTGTTACTCACCCTGTGGGTGTTCAGAGCCAGTCATTTTTAACCTGACAAGACTTTGGAGCCAAACACAACCCATCAAGGATAAACCAGTATCTGGTAAAGCACAGGTCACATTGTCACAAGTCTCAAAACACTGCTCTTACCGTGACCTGTTTTGCACTTAGTGATGTGTTTGCCGGGTCCTCTGCATCAAAACTGAGCAGAGAAGTTTCACTGAGCTTTGGCAGGGGTTCAGGAAGAATGAACAAACCTCATTGTCAAATGCAATGACTGATTTTGTATGGAGCTTTTTCCGACAGCTCTCTGACTGGAGAATGCATTTTAAAAAACTTCTCAGGTTCAGTGGCTTGTATTTTATTGCCAGTACCTGTATTTTTTTTCAACAGACTCACTGCTGGGAGGCTGTAAGAAGAAGAAAATGTTTATCCGATTGTCTTTACATTTCTAATGTCGAAATTGGTTTGTTTCTTTATCTTCCAAAGTGAAGTAGTAACCATTTTGTTTTTACATTACCAAGAAACAACATAAACCCTTGCTAGATCGTCCAATCAAATTACAAATGACTCTCCCACTAATGAGAGGGAATAAGTGATCAAGCAGGAACTACTGTTACTGGAAGAAAACTAAGCTAAATATACTAAAAAAGAGATACAGAAATACTAAAATAAATGTATTTCTTGGTCCTCCACTGGGCCCCTTTAACAATAGGGCTCTGGGTAATTCTGGGCAAGTTACCTGGGTGCTGATGACATTCCTATCAAAGGTTAGTATTTTTGGGGAATAAATGAAGAGGGAAAGAGTAATCCAAGAAGCCATTTTTCCATAATTCATTATCCATTTAAGAAACGCATTCTAAAAAAATGTCTATGGTCCAAAACAATTTTATCTCTGAGTTTTTTTTATCTAAAATGGACAGCAGCTAGAGTCAGACTGTAACTCGTGAAGCCACTCCAAATAATTCTGTTGAAAGTAAAAGTATTCTATTTAAGAGTAGACTCTACTCCAAAATCACATGATCTTTTGATCCTGTTCCCACTGCCTTGCCGTGTTCAAATTATCCAAATCGTTGTCTGCTTGTCAATGTATTATTAAAATCTGGAACTGTTCCCTTGGCCCTTAAATTTGCAGTTCCAATTACGCTCCTAAAAAAGCAGAAATTATACTCTAGCCTGCCCAGTAATTATTGGCCAATATCTAACAATTTGGCAATAGTTTTAGAATAGGCTGAAGCTGTTACAATCTCATTTATGTGCACGTAAGCTGTAGGAGTAATTTCAGCCTGAGTTCAGATCAATCCCTAGTACAGGAACACCTTTTGTTTTATGATGGCTGACTTTTTATCCATTTTTGTTGGACAACAGTGCAGCCTTGCTGTTGATTATACCATCCCTATTACAGTATATGATATTACAGTAGCTTCTTTACTCCAATTCTGATTTTATATGATTTATAGAAATGAATGTTCAAATAAGTTATTTCTCTGCTTCAACAGCATTGGTCATATGTGGCATTACACAGGACATTTAAAGTTCATGTTTGCAATGTGAAGGTGCATTTTTTCACCTTCAGAACACAGCCCATAACCATTCACAACTCTCTCATTTGACACAGAAAAGCTAATGTACGTACTTTTTTCCATACTTGATTATTGAAGAGCGAGGATTGTCAGTGTCCCTACAACATGTTTATAAGTTGCAGCATACTCAAAACTCAGCAGCTCAAATCGTAACTAAAATGAAAAATGCAACAGTAAAGATCACCTCTAATAGCTTCCCTGCACTGACTCCCTATGTAATTTAGAATACAAATCCAAAACCTGCTGTTAACTCGTATGACCTTGAATGACTACAGTAGTGAACTCTTAGCTCCCTGCATCTCTCAGACTTTGACATTTTTTCAATTTGTTCTGTTATGTTTATTGTTACTTGTTGCTCCAAGACTGTGGAATAATCTTCTAGCTCAAGTCGTTTTTAGCCATTCCTGACTTTAAAAAAAACTCACTTTTATACTTCACAGTCAGTTTAATTTACAGTATTATTTTTGTATGTCAATCTATTTTGGTCAATACTATAAAGCCCCTTGAGATGATACTATATATCATGAAAGGTGCTAGTTAAAATAAAGATTACTCCAAAAACAATTTTTCGGATAATTTATTGATTTTATAGTAGTTTTAAGTGAGTAGTTTTTTTATGCCCAATACACATTTGAACACTCAGCTATGAATTAAGTAGTCTTAAGCATTTTAATCCACTGGAATGGTTCCTGGTTTTCTGAGTAATTAAATACATAAAGCACAGAATATTACAGGTTTCATAAAGACTATGAGAAGATTTCAACTTCTTGTCAAGATCGATGGAATTTCTTTCCAAACTTCAGGTTTCTAGTGGATTCAAATGTTTGATCTATATCCAAGCTATTACAGCACAGCTCTCATTTACAGTATAAATTCCCAATGCAACCACAACACAGTTGTTACCTGGCAACTTGCGTCACAGTATCTGGCAATCTTGCATTGAGAACATCTGAGGAGTTTTTCCTTCCTAAAAACGGAGAACAAAAATGTTATTTGAGTGGATAACTAATCAGTAACCATAATACTGCAAGCAACTGTGTTACTGAATACATCCTAGAAAATATCAAATCCACTTAATGTTTTTTTTTTCATAAAATTAAAAGCAAATCTTTTAGCAAGTGTCCCATGAATAGCAAGTTCAATTACATTAGATATAAAACAGTCATTACAAAGGACTGACATATTGCTCTGAAAAATTATATCTGCTTTCCATACAGATAAGATTTTCTGGCAATGTTAAAGGAAATCAAGAGATAATTTTAGCTTCAATTTGACTAGATGACTTGTACTATTTTTCTGCACAACCTAAAGATTAATGAAATGTGTGATCCACGTATGACAGCAGGAATTTTAATTAAGATGCAGCCATCTTGCTTGTTTAATGCATGCAGTGTTGAGGTGTCACATCTTACTTCCCACTTTATTATACCGAATGTGATAAAGAGGGTGGATTTACCACTAAAATATACAGTGTGCACACAATTCACAGGCTTTCACACAAGATTTTATCATAACTTTTGAAAACTGATGTAAGTGGCTACTTGTGGGGGGAAAAGAACATACTGTACATAGTGTTGTGTGAGCTTTAAACTTAAAAGATTACGTTATACAATCAGCAAGTGAAACCACCTATTAATACAGAGTGAAGAGATTTCATGCCTCCAGGGAGTCCTGACACTTATGGCATCACAGTAGCGGCCACTGTCCCATGAAGCTGCTCCGCGGAGGCCAGACAGGCAGCCAACATGCAAAATGGAACCTTCAGAAGGCCGTGAAATCTAACATCAATCAAACATCAATTAATCTGGATGAAAGAGGTCTCCACAAAAATCTCACCCATGGAGCTTCACTAGTGACTCAACCGGCAAACCGAGGACCTTTTGACCTCTGATCGTGAGTTCGAGTCCAAGTCATGTCACTAGCCAACTGCGACTGTGACCTGGATTCGCAGGTCAGTCACTGCGCAGTGCTGCTGGTTTCAGCAATGCTCTCCCAGTAGTTCTCAGCCTAGGGTAAAGTGGGATTTGCCAGGGCTCCCTTGGTGACACAGCCACTACTGCATCATTCTGGGCACTTGCAGGCATGCAGGGCTGTGTGGGACAGATGTGCCTCTGAGCCAACTGCACAGAGCTGAGTTCTACTCCTCACTGAGCCAACTGCACAGAGCTGAGTTCTACTCCTCACTGAGCCAACTGCACAGAGCTGAGTTGCCCGTTACCAGTCATAAAAGACAAGTGGCTTGAATGTGGGCGAGTCAGAGGAGCACGACTTCACTTTTTCACTCTCTCCCATATGCAACCACAGGGCTCTGAGAGCTCAAGTGAAAAAAAGAAAGAATTGACTATTCTAAATCAGGGGGTTATTATAAAAATAACCAGCAATAATTCATATTTTTTTGAAAATTTAGCAATGGAGCACAACTAATGCAAATTCATGCTGGGTTTTATTGGACTTTTTAAAATTTTAATTAAATGTATAGCATTTCATTAATTGCGCATAATTATTGAGACATTTAGCAACTATATTCAAAGTACTCCAAAAAGCTTTGGATTTGGATCAGACATCTTTATCTTCAAATATTTAGGCTTTATTTTCTGTGTAACACATACTGCTTTGTTTAAAGCTCCAAATATTCAGTAGCAGTTTGGCAGAAACAAAAACAGCACAATGTCCTCAGAACCCAGATACATTTTTTAATTGCTGATTCATGTTTTAGAATCTAGTTTAAAGTAAATGAATCTGTGTCAGAAGTGGTTCACCTTGAATTAGAGTCAAAAACAAATTAGACAAAGTCACCCAGAAAAGTTTTATTGCCAGTGGGCAGCTTGCCCAGGGAGCCTTCAGTATCACTGCTCCCGACTCATTTTTTAGGCAGCACTGTCAAAGTGACAAGAAGGAATATAATTAAACACAGATAGAGATAAATGACCAAATTGATCATTTTGCCACAGTCAGAACCAGCCTGTTATTTTGATAAACTTTAATGAGTGACAAATGGTGCTAGTTGGTGTTTTTTCTTCTTTTATCTTGTAGAAAGATATAAAATAGAAATATGATAAGATTTAAAGTGCAAGCAACATACTGTAAGACAGTTGTGAAACAGAAGTAACATCTCAACCAGGAGGTTTTTTATATGAAGGGTATGATTCAGCACTAGCAATACTCTTTGTGTTACACCTACAGTATTGAGCATAGACCACATTTTGAAAAGGAGCATTATGTCAATAATTTAAAAGATAATGCCAATCTCTATTTTCTACTCTAGTGCATAATAGTAAAGAAAAGGGTGGGCTAATTTTGGTTGGCAGGTTGGTGAGATTTTTGTATGACTTCAACAAAAGTACTATACCATCACCATAAAAATCGAGGTGCAATCAGTCCAGAAATGGTGTCATTTACAATAATACACAGGGTCAATCACTGGCATTTGGAAATTTTCTTACAATCTAAGCATTGGTTTGACATTACAGTAAAATTGTACCCTAAGGCAAGAATGAACCCAATGTTAAATGTCTATGCTAGCAATGAGGGCTAATGAATAGATTGAAGAGGCTGTTGGGCCAGTAATTTTAAGTGGAAAGGGTAAGTCAGTTACAACCTTTGCTAGTACACCAAGCTATTAAACTGAGACCTATAGACATGCCAACAAGTATGACTTTGATACCAGAATAAATCAGTGATCCAGATATCTCCTACCCCTTATGCCACAGACAAATACTGTCTACTGCTTGCCTTCCAACCAATATTTTATTATTTCTTAAACAATCAGAGTATCCATACATCTACAGAAAAGACTCCTTTACTTTTCTGACCAAAGGATGGGGTCACCAAAAATCCACCATATCTATTTCACAATCTCTACAATCGTCTGTACTTTTTTTTAAATGTATCAGCTTCACTGCTTTATGAAGGGCTACAATGTATTATAATTTACAGGAAATTTAGTTGAAGGAGTCAAGCCTTTACCCCTAGCATTAAAAATGCCCCCAAGGCCTGGTACCTTGTAGCATGCTTTCGCAGTATAATTTTATAGAACATAGACAGGTTGTAAATTTCTCTGCCCCAATAAAAGAATCTGCCAGTTACTTTATCTTCTGTTCAGCTCGTATTTCATACTTAATATCACATGTTGATGTCTGGAAAAAATGGATGCATTACTGTCAAAGAGATTTGTTGTGGGATATGTGTTTTGAGATTGCCTAGACATTAAACCTTGCTCAGGCAAGTAAAAGTCTCTCAGTCTCGTCTGTGGGAATAACACCTCACCACATCTAAAGTTGATCTCTCTAATGGATATTCATAAGACTATTTGCAGTACTGTGCATAACTGCTTCTAATCCCCCTAAGCATCAACTCTGAACTGCATATGAAAAAATGGGTCTTGTTTTGGAATCATAAGGGACAGGTGGAAGTGTAATCTGCAAAACAGCTAATCATTAAAATTACTTTAGTAGACTACAGTAAAAAAAACACACACAGGCAGATTTCCCTGCCTGCATTCTAATCATGATTTTTCTATACATAAATCTCAGCCTTTTTTATCACATATATGACTGAGCGCACACCTGCACTGTCAACTATGAATAAAAACTCAATTTCAGTCTCTGGAGAATAAACACATGGCCTTTTAAAAGCAGACAAACAGTTGGCAAACAAGACTGTTTATTAAGAATGCAGTCAATGCAGAACCTCGGATCATTAATGTGAACACAGGGCTGTCTAAGGGTCAGTGCTTCTCCTGTCAGGTTGCCACAACCTGTCCTGGTCTATAAAATGACATTCATCAACTATGCATGCAGCAATCCAAAAAGACATCCAAGAAACTGTAGTGATTTCCTGTTTTAACTTCAAATTAGAGACTTAAATGTTTCCTTTATTTCATGTTCACTAATTCCTTCAGTATCTGAAACAAAATTAGAGTTGCTTTTGGCAAATTGCCTTTGTGAACATTGAAACCCATCCAACATTCATTAAAAAAAAGATCAACATGTAATTTATGTTGGTCAGTGCAATTTAAATCCTTCAACAGGCACTTCCTGATATGATTTCCATAAGAAGGAAAATATGGGAGGCCCTTTTCACATAGATGTTCCAAAACCAAGTGAAAAGTCAAGAGCAATGTAGCGACAGCACTCTAACTTTTCAGCTCTCAAACATAACCAACCCCCAAAAAAATTCAGACTATAATCAGAACCAAACTGACATTTCACCATGTTCTGTTAGGACGTTTCTGAGAGAACAAAAAACTGAAGAGAAACTAAATCTTACCTGATATTTCACTTTCCAGTTATTGCTGTTAATTTCTAACAAAAGACAGTATAACATACAGTACAGTATTTCAGACCATGAGACAAGGCATTACTGGAAGAAGACATGAACCATCCTCTACAGTGGATAAGATTCCTCTTGGCAACTATGGTAACCCACATCCCCCATTTAGGCCCTGATTAAATAAAAACTTAATCTGACAACCAATCGCAAATTCTAATCCAAGTACCTAATGACTGGTGGCCACTAAGTAGAAGGAAGAGGCCATTGTGAAACAACAAGGGTTCTACTACTGGGCTTCCAGGCTTTACTCACGGGTGGTCAAATTTAGGATGTACTGTAATCCAGGTCAAACAAATCATTTTTATTTTCTTCTTTAATGTTTCTTATGAGTTTTGCAATTACATTGCTCAAAGGACACACAGAAAGTAATCTGCATGTCTCCAAAACGGTTTTGACCTATGCATATGACCGATTTCATTCTCAATGAAAAGTTTTTAAAAAATTACATTACAGTATATACTGTATACTGACTATATGCAGTAGGTAACCTTCAGATCTCTTAGATAATTCTGAATGTTTACTCACTTATTGTACTGTATATATTCTATTCCATTTCATCATCCAGTGAAAATACAGCATAATGAATTACAGGAGCTGTCACTAAAACAACAGTAGCAGTAGGATCATTTAGGTCTT